GGTTTCAAAAGGTTGGAGGTTAAGTGGGGAGAGTTCTTCTCCACAGAAGCAGCGCATGGAGGGAGGTGCTCGCCTTGTAGGGGGTAAGGGCAGAAGAGGGGGACTGCACTAGTTTGGGGGTGGAGGGACGACAGTGTCACATCATCTCTCGACGGTGCTAGATTGGGCAGGCGTTGGCTTGAGGTATACCTTTAGGGGGAACTGGTTGCCTCGAGGGATTAACGACAATGAGGGGGTTCTTTATTGTTGGGGCTGATTGGTACTGCCTATTATCAGGTGATTCTAATCAGCGACAACAGTGAGAATGGAAGAGGGGAGAAAGGAGGAGGAAATAGGAAGATAAATCAACATTAATCATTATCATTTATCTTCAACATTGGTCATCCTCCATCACCATGATATTTATCTGCTTAGGGTTCTTTCATAATCAGATCCCCATTTCCTATGTGTTATTATTCAATTAGCTTATTTTCAAACTGATCAGTGTTAGTGTAATTGCCTATGTTGGGTGGACTTCATATCGACACAGGCCGGTGCTGGGGCATCGCTCTGTAACCTGTTCTTAGGAGCTTGAGGTCTATAGGAGACTGAGCATTGCTGAGGGAGGAAAGCAGTCCGATAACTTGACCAATGACTATATTTCACAACATAGCTTCATAATTCGATTGGCTGAATTAGTATGGATACTAGGAATTGGGGAAAGGAAAAAAGTTGAGTTCTAAGTAGATGAACATCCTGATTAGTATTTAGTAATTATCTCCAATCAGTTGCTCATTATTCTCCTTAGCATTATCGTATCAGTTTCTGACAAACAAAAAATTGTCATTCTCATTCTCATCATCATCATCATCTGAGGGACGTTGGGCCCGATTCTCAGTATGTTTTGTCTGATTACTTAGGGTAGAGTGTGAGGACCCCGACCTCAAACTTCTCATTTATTATATATATATATATATATATATATATATATATATCGTCAAATAGAACTGCCCGGTAAACCGTAGGCAGAGAGGGAGAAGATGACAACAAACGAGGGGTTGTGACAAACTGTTTCGTCGGAGTTTCACCGACTCATCAAGAGGCTGAATAAAAATATATATATATATATATATATATATATATATATCCGGTTAAACCATAGGCAGAGAGAGAGAAGAGGACAACAAACGAGGGGCTGTGACAAACTGTTTCGTCGGAGTTTCACCGACTCATATATATATATATATATATATATATATATATATATATATATATATATATA